GCACTTTACCCATGGGGACAGCTTGAGGCACTGTCTCAAAAAAAAAAAAAAAAAAAAAAGGAACTGGGTGACACACATTACCATCTACTGTCTGCCTCCTGTCCCATTTCCACTGCTCCCCGCACCCCCCTTTCCATCTGTGGAAAAATCCATGAAACTGGTCCCTAGTGCATGAAAGTTTGGAGGCTTCTACAAAATGCCTCTGTTTGTGTTCTAGTTGATTTTTGTCTTCTAAGTTGATTTATGTATATTTATTTTGGAGACAGAGTCTCACTTTGTCACCCTTGATAGAGTACAGTGGCGTCATAGCTCACAGCAACGTTAAACTCTAGGGCTCAAGCATCCTCTTGCCTCAGCCTTCTGAGTAGTTGGAACGAAACGTGCCCGCCATAAGACCTGGCTATTTTTTAGAGACAGGGTCTTGCTCTTGCTCAGGTTGATCTCAACCCGTGAGCTCAAGCAGTCCATCTGCTTCAGCCTCCCAGAGTGCTAGGATTACAGGTGTGGGCCTCCAGGAAGCCCACATAAGGGGAGGAACCGGAGGGAAAAACATGTTCAGTTTATGGATGTTCCTCTCCAGTTCTCTTCCCAAAGTTTCCTAGTTTAAATGTAAACTCTCTCTGGGGTCAAATAGACTGTCTCCTGAGGGACACGGGTGGTTTAATTTCTGCTGTTCCTCTGTGTGCTCACCTGGCTCATGGATATCCAGCTATTTTATTTTCATCCCTGAGCTATTGGAGTTGGCCTTGGGGCAGTTGTGCTGTAGTTCGTGGCCCTCCGCCCCAGGCCCACTCAGCAGTGCACCTGGAGGCTGCCAGTGCTGCGGTTGCTCTGGTTCTGGTGGGGCCAGCGCTGGCCCTGCAGGGCTCACTTCAGACTTGGAAGCCAGGGATTGAAACCTGCAGTGTGTACAAGAATGTTGAGACAAAGGGAAACTTTAGAGGGAAGTTGTCAGGGACTTGAAGTTACTGTTTTTTTGGTTTTTTGGAGACAGGATCTTGCTCTCTCACTCAGGATGGAGTGCAGTGTCATACCCAAAGCTCACAGCAACCTCAAATGCTTGGGCTCAAGCGATCCTCCTGCCTCAACCTCCTGAGCTGAATGTTGGGATAGTTAGTTTATTTAACTATTATTAACAGTTAATAATTGTCCTGTTAAGAGAGGCTTTTGGTCTGTGACAGGGACTTTTCTGTAAGTGATTTTACCTGTGGCCTCTAACCACAGGTTGAAGAGTGTGAGGTCAGAGGTGCCTCAGAGGTGAGTGTGAGTAGTATCACTTTTGAAATAAAAAGTAAATGCAATTTCTTGCCTCTGTGGGAGTATGATCTGGGAGGTGAGGAGCAGCATTGTGGGTCGTGGGTCCTAAGAGGACCCAGCTGTCACCCCTCACTCTCTTTCAGAGACAGACAACTCGTGCAAGGTGTGCTGCAGAGACCTTTCTGGCCGGTGTGTGCCCTACGTTGATGCTGAACAGAAGAACTTATTTTTGAGGAAAGGAAAGCCCTGTACAGTAGGATTTTGTGACATGAATGTAAGTGTGTATATATATGTACACTTTTTTCTATAACAGCCAGATGGGAAGTTTTTATCTTGTACGTACTTGATTTTGCAAATAGAAGGAAATCAAAACATAAATGGTACTACATTCTTCTGGCTATTGTTTGTTTTTGTTTTGGGTTTTTAGGAGGAAAAGGCCAATTTTCACAGATGGAAAGGGGGATGTGGGGGCAGGGGAAATGGGAGCTTTCCGGTCACTGGAGCTTTTTCTACTCCATAGTGAGGAGACTCTGAACCCAGAGACTGGGAAGGCTTTGTGGGAGGAGACTTAATGCTAAACTTGGTTGGTTTTACGCACTGGGTCCTGATTAGTTTTCCCAAGGTTTAAAGAATTGACTGACCAGTGCGGTGTTTTATTCCTGTAATCCTAGCACTCTGGGAGGCCAAGGCGGGAGGATCGCTTGAGCTCAGGAGTTGAAGACCAGCCTGAGCAAAGTGAGACCCTCTCTTTACTGAAAACAGAAAAACTAGCTGGGGTTCATGGCAGGCGTCTTTCGTCCCAGCAGCTTGGGAGGCTGAGGCAAGAGGATCATTTGAGCCCAGGCATTTGAGGTTGCTGTGAGCTCTGGTTATACCACTGCACTCCATCCTGAGTGAGCAAGATCTGTCTCCAAAAAACAGGACCTAAATGTTTGTTTTTAATGAAGCCTGTTACATCGTAATTACTGTTACTTTTGCTTTTGTAGAGATAAAGTCTCACATTGTTGCCCAGGCTGGTTTCAAACTCCTGGCTTCAAGTGATCCTCTCGCCTTGGCCTCCCAAAGTGCTGGGATTATAGGCATGAGACACTGCACCTGACCAGTGTCAGTTACTTTTATAAATCCATTTGCTTCTAAATGCATCGTGTTCAGGGGTAATGTTGTATGTTTTCTTTTCATAGGGCAAATGTGAGAAACGAGTACAGGATGTCATTGAGCGATTTTGGGACTTCATTGATCAGCTGAGCATCAATACTTTTGGTAGGTAGTTTCCCCAGATTATTTACTTAAAACTGAACTGATTTCTTTGAGGATATTAGGAAAGTGTGGTTTCAGAGTGATGTGCTCTAATATGCAGTAGAAGTTGGAAATATTCACTGCTTTTGTTATGAAGCAAGTATGATAAAATGGATTCATTATAGGTCTTTCCCTATGTAGCTTAGGTGCACAAATTTTCCAACAAGTGGAGTACTTTGTCAAAATGTGGGCTTCCAGCTCGGCGCCTGTGGCTCAAGTGGCAGCCAGCTCAAGGTGCAAGCCACATACACTTAAGGTGGTGGGTTTGAATCCAGCCTGGGCCTGCCAAAACAACAATGACTGCTGCAACCAAAAAATAGCCAGGCGTTGTGGCGGGCGCCTGTGGTCCCAGCTACTTGGGAGGCTGAGGCA